CCACTAACTTCACTTCCACTAACCTAACCTCCACTAACTTCATCTCCACTAGCCGTATCTTCACCAACTTCACTTCCACTAATCTAGCCTCCACTAGCCACACCTCCACTAACCTCATCTCCACTAGCCGCTTCTCCACTAAATTCACTTCCACTAACGTAACCTCCACTAACCTCACCTACACTAGTCGCATCTCCACTGACTTCACTTCCACTAACCTAACCTCCAATAGCCGTATCGCCATTAGCCTCACCTCCACTAGCCGCATCTCCATTAACTTCACTTCCACTATCCTCACCTCCGCTAACCGAATCGCCACTAACCTCGCCTCCACTAACCTCACCTCCACTAGCTGCATCTCCACTAACCTCACCTCTACTAATCTCGCCTTCCAATACCGGAGTGTACTGTTCCCGTCATGAGCGCACATAAATTGTGCAACTACTTAACTCGCAGCCGGTTAGCTGATAATATATATTGCGTCCTAAATCTGAACATGATGTAAATTTCGGCATGTTGCATCCAGCCCCTACACTACGACCTGAGCAACTGGACCGGGAAAACCCCAGTTGCCCTGCTCTTGGAATTGACACAGAAGAAGAAATGGCACAAGCCTAGGTATATAACGGTACGTGAAAGATAATACAGAAGAAAACGTATCAACAATCTGCAATGTATTAGTGTATATATTTACGGTACAGAATGACACAGCCCATGACCTATCACTGTGTGTAGATACATGAAGTGAGGGAGGCTGAACTATCTATAACATCCTACTTTAGCTAAATGAGCGAGCTTCGGCTCACATCCAGGCTGTCGATTTTTTTCGACGGACGTAAACGTATGGTCTGGTGAACATCAATGAATGTTGGTTCTTGGCTGTAATGCTCAAATGTATACCGGATCATATTCACACTATTGAGCACACCCCTATTGACTAAAAAAAACCATATTTTTTTTTCGCAGAAAAAAAAACCTAAGGGACATCTGGTTGTGGTAGTGTTGGAGAAAAAGGACAAGAAAGGTGAAATACAGCAGGTGTCGTATGCAGCTGAGGAACCTTGTCCAACTGCGGCTGATGCTAAAGTATGCGTGATGAAATATATACTTTCAGCTATATATATATATATATTATTTTAGTATGAATAAGCTTATTTCTTATCTACCTACCACTACATACACCTGTAAACGTATGTATCAGCGCTGTGTGGTGTGTAAACTCATCTCTCCGTTGGAGCGATGTCATAAATCAACATCTCATGCCTATTATGCATGTTTCAGCATTACGTTTTGCATCAATATTCATTCCATTCCGAATCACCTCACAACTGCACACAGCTACGAACCTGTGTCTTGGCACTACATGGCGTACAGAGCCATCTGTCCATGAAGATGATGATTGCACCCGCATTGCGGCCATACTGGACCGAGTTGGACACCACGCACAAGCAAAAGCACACCCTCACAGTCCCCGGCGACCCGTTCGAGAAAACCGCCCCGAACACAGCCGAGTTCCAGAAGAAAATGGAAGCCCTGAAGATTGCACCTGTACCTCAAAAAGAGGACCGGGGTATGATTCTGTGAGTGCATGATCAGAGTTCGTCTGCGAATGCGCTGTTTGTATGTGAGTCGCGATCGGTTCAAAAAAAAAAGCTCCGAACACAACCGAGTTTTGGAAGATAATGTATGCCCTGAAGATTACACCTGCATCCCAGAAAGAAGACCGGTGTATGGTTCTGTGAGTATGTGATCAGAGTTTGTCTGTGATTGCGTTGTTGTTTGTATGAATTTGGCGATTGTCCGAATATACTGTCGCGAACACAACCAAAAGAATATATGCCTTGGAGATTGCACCTGCCCTCAAAAAGAGGACCGAAGTAAGGTTCTGTGTGTGTATGATTAGAGTTCGCCTGTGGTTGCGCCGTTGTTTGCATGTTTGTGTGTCTCCTACCTATGAACGTTTTTTTACACACAGCAAACAATCCCAGGTAAAACCGCAATGTCTCAAAAGTAAGTCAGTCGGTGCTATGCCAGCCCATATACTCAATACACGAATTGTATACGCATATCTTAGACACCTCATCGAACTAGCTGCATGTCAGGTTTTAGGGTTTACCATGAAACCCTAAAAACCCAATACCCCAACATGGTAACGTTCATCGCAATGCCGAAACAAAGTGCAGCAACATCTCAACCCAACTACCCTCCATGTGCAAATGTTCACGTCAAATTATTATTTACAGCCACCACAGAGAATCCGGACATGCCAAAACGCATACAACTAGAGAGCAAGAAGATCGAAGTACACATGAGCGAAGCCGTCCGCGCCTTTGTGGAAGAAGTAATTAAGAACACGCCTTTGGACAATGTTAGGTGTGTGATATATATATATATATATATATATACATTAATATATATA